AAAAACCTCTCTTCACGGATATGCAATATATTTAATATAAAGAAGTAAAAATACAAAGTGATGATAAAACGCCTTCTTTGCTCGGCTACTAAACGATGACTGCCTCTTGGTTTCTTTTCTTTAATTTACTTCCTTGGGCGACGCTCTTTCTATCGTTATTCGACTGTTTATAATACATAGTTTATCTTTTGCCTAACTATATCCGATAAGTACTCTCTGGCCCACTCATGCTTAAGTGTTCTTACTCACATTCTCACACCCCACATATATATATATATATATATTACGTTACGTTTATAATATATTTACGAAACGTTTACGTTATATCTATATATATATATATAACGTACGTATATATGAACGTAAACGTTTCAATGACAAAAAACAAACATTTAGTGGTTATGAAAATCGTAGGAGTTGTTGAGGTCAGTAACACTCGTGTATCTGTAGCGACAATATCTATTTTCGTGGTGCTTGTAACTTATATGCATATGTAGAGAGAAAGAGAGAGAGAGAGAGAGAGAGAGAGAGAGAGAGAGAGAGAGAAGTGAGAGTGAAAGAACGAAAATGGTAACTTCAAATATTATTTATTTCTTTAGAATTATATCATTCTTTTCATAGGGGAAAAACAATTTTTATTTAATATAAAATATTAAAAGATTCGACGTTCAGATATACATGCATACACACACAACATACACACACAACATACACACACATACACACACACACACACACACACACACACACACACACGCGCGCGCGCGCGCGCGCGCGCGCGCGCGTTATGTGCGATTTTCACCGAAGTATAATAATGCGATATAATCGCAGAACAAAAGGGAGGGTTATACGTATTTGTGCGTTAAACGAAGAAGAAAAGAAAGGAAAAGCGTAGCGGATACTTTCCTCGTGCACTTTTATAAGATTCACAGACCAGTAGTAATAGTAGTAGTAGTAGTAGTAGTAGTAGTAGGTAGCGTTCAGCTACGATGAAAAAGTTTTCGGATAATACGTGCAACGCGTTTTTGCGATAGACCGAGGCTTTTCAGGAAGAAAGACTGAGAATAAAAACGAATTTTCCTCTTTTTGACGTCCTACGTCTCCTCTTTTTTTTTCCTTTTTCTTCAAAGAGATTACCGAATATTATCAAAAAAATGCTAAGAGAGAATGAAAAAGACAGAGAGAGAGAGAGAGAGAGAGAGAACAACAGATGAAAAGCAGAATCGGTTATTTTTCTATATTTTTCTTTTGTTCTTTCAAGAATCCTAAATAATATGTGCTGAAATTCGCGAGTGCAGTATATATGAACAATAAATAAAAAAGAAAATGGTAATAGGATTGAAAGTAGGGGATGAAAATATGTATATGTGTGTGTGTGGAATATTTGTAGACTATGATCTAATTAGAGTAGCTTTTGCATTATCCTTAAGAGACTGATGCTTTTGATCTTGAATCTGATTAGAATAGTCGGTGTAGCTTTGGTGCATATCAGTCGAGTACAGTAACCATTCTCGGGTGCAGGGAACAATCGCGGTGCATCCCTCTGACGAAGGAGAGCTCGAGGCAACGGGATAAGCCAATGAAATAAAGGACAGATCTGTATAGTGTACCTTGTCTGACAATCCTTGATACAAGCGGTTGACTGAAACAAAATATATATATATATATATATATAATATTGTAGTAATATATAATAATATTCTACAATGCGTATAAAATATGAATTAAACCTTTTAGTCACTACACGTCATTATAGTGGTTTCCACGAATGCCATTTTCCAGTAGGAGGCGACGCTATGGTGGCTTTCACGGATAACATCTTTTAAAATATATTATACCTAATTTAATTATTAATTTATATATATATATATATATATATATANTATATATATATATATATATATAAATATATATTTATTTATTATTAATATATAATTATTTACTTATAAATTAAATATTTATATTAAATAATTAATATATTATTAAAGTAAATTGCTTAAGAGTTAACCCTTTGGTTACATTTGACGTATCTAGAGTTATTTTGAAATAAACTAATTTCATTCTAATTTATTTCAAAGTAATACGTAATTTTTATAATATTATTAATTAATATATTATAATATTTAATATTATATTTAAATTATTATATAATATTTCAAAGTAATTTTCAAATAAATGTCTATTCAAAGGGTTAAAGTATATGTGTGTATCATTTCTTTGTAAAAAATTATAATTTAATCATGAAAAACTTTATTAAAGTGTACTCGCATAGAGAATAGCTCTATTGTTCGTCACATATCGTAGTTTTATCGTTTACACGTAATTCTAGTTGAACCCTGCTGTACAGAGAAACAACCCCATGCAATATTCAGCCATACCTAAGAGGTGAACAAGATTCATCGAGTATTATTTTCAATATTAAATATAAATCCTTTTTGATCGTAAAACAATTACGAGTATCGAATGATAAAAGTGTTTGTTATAGTTGCAATATTTATTAATATTTGCGAATAATTATTAGGAATATTAGATAGAGAAATAAAGGGTGGGAGATGGAGAAAGAAGGGAAAGATTGATTATTTTTGTATCTCCAAGACTCTCGTTGATAACAAGCTAAAGAAGAAAAAAGATTAGACCATAATTCACTCGCGGTGACGCGTTGAAATAAATCTTGAGCGCGTTTAAATTAATCGTCCACGTCGTCTATAGTTAGAACTCGGAGTGTAATTAAAGATCGTTATCGCTTCCGTCAGCACGAAATTCCTTGCAGTTCGATCGTTGCAAGATTGCCGAGAGTTTCATCGACTGTCACGATTAAAACCAGGGATTATTAACTATCGAAAGTTGCGTAGGGAATTACAGATAGCATAGTATTTCGATTCAATTTATTGTTAACAAGTGGTACTAAGTAAACGATCAAAGAAAATAAACAATCTCATTTGTTTCAGATCAAAGTATTTCTTTCTTTTACTTTTACTTTTACTTTATGATAAAAGTTGATTTTTAAGTAGTCGCATTAATAATGGAATCATAAGTGACCACTTTTATCATACAGGGTTTTGACAATATGATTTAAACAATACATGGTTATTCGTTTTATAAATAATTTGATAGATTTATTACCTTAAAAAAAGGATAATAATATATTTCGTAAATGATTACATTCAACTATCATTTCATTCAAATTTCATCGTAGGTCTTCTTTAACTCGGTTTTGATTTCTATTGCTAAGTATATTTGTTGCAGTAAACTAGAATATGTTCGATGCTATTTGCAGTATTGCAAGTTTCACATTTGGTTAGCATTTGCTCAGTGAATAAATACATATTTGTGTGTTAGTTTCGTGTTGGCCCAATATGAATACGGGTGGTAGTTACTTGGTCTCTATTGTTTAGCATTCAAATTTTGTGCATCTCATGAACATCCGATCTTACAGGTGAAAATATTGTTTCTTTCTTTGGTTATCTATTCGTTCATCGATTAATGATTAAATTGTGAGATCGCGAAAAGAGATAGAGGGGACTCGTGCGTAAAAAAACGAATCACAAAGGTACGTATAGGAGAGAACATAAAAAAGCTATAGGAATTATATGGGGTATAACTCGTCGTATAATAGGTTTAGTGTCGTAATGTCAATTTAGTACGACGGATTTTGATTTGTCCATCGATTAAAGAAGATTCAAACGTGAAACACATAATCTAAAGAAGAAGAAGAATTGTATTTTGCGTGTAATATTTGCGCGTGGGTGGGTGGCGCGCATGGGTGGTTAGTGGCGGGGGTAAGTAGGGACGGGTGGGGTGAGTTGTTGGAAGCACCGTAGTCGTGGTTGTAGTTCAGTCAGGGTTGCGCCGTCGAAAACGAAGGAAGCGCCGCTCGCCGCCGTCGCCGCGACGTCGAGCGACGACGAGTGTGTGCGGCCTTTTAGTTCGCGTTCGTACGGTGCCAAAGACGGTGCCAACAACGGTGCCAACAACAACGGTGCCAACTACGGTACCAACTACGGTATTTCTCCCTATACTCTATTATTCTTTTTTATCTTTCTATATATCTCTCTTTCTCTTTTTCTCTTTCTTTTACTTTCCATTTTTCCATCTCATATAACACACGCACGCATACAATATAAATTTTGGTATACGCACACACACGCATATACACACGAGGATACAGAGAGAGAAAGAGAGAGAGAGAGAGAGAGAGACAGAGGGAGAAAATTTCGAGACAATTTCTTTTTTTTCACCTTTCCAATTCATTTTATTTTTTTCTCCCCCAAATTCATCCCCTTTGTAAAATATATTCTATGTTTTTTTAACTTTCCCTTGTTTATTTTTCTCTTAGTTTCTATCGTTTTCTTTTTCTGTTTTTTTTTTTCTTCTTCTTGTTCTTCATACTGTTCGCGTAATTTTTCTGGTGCAAAATACGCGAGAATGATCGTCGGGATTTTTTTTTCCTATCTCGTGTGTGTTTTTGACAAAATCGTGAAGAAGATATAAAAACCTCGTGGAGACAACACAACAACATCAATTGTGGAACCCATCGTCTCTCTGCTCTTTTTCGTTCGAGACACATAGTTCTTCTTTTGGATCAAAGGTTCGTGTTGTTTATGCTTTTTTTTTTTTTTTATAATGTTTTTCTCTTGTCGTTGTTTTGCTTCGAGAGGAATTGAATTTCTAAATAACCCTGTACGCGTGTTTTTCTTTTAATTTTCTTTCTTTTTATTCCTGAGTTTAATCACACTCGAAGCAGATGTTCTACGGTAGGGGATTTAATTGGCGGAGATTGATACCTCTCTGTCTTTACATTTCTCTCTCTCTCTCTCTCTCTCTCTTTCTCTCTATATTCCATCTACGTTTATAATTTTCTCTATCTTCGTCTGGTCTTCGTATACGCACAAGAACAGCAACAGCCAGAGCAAGCTCTCGCTTTCGATAGAACTTTGCGCAGTGAGAATTTCCATGGCAACCCGATTGTGTCTCACGCTAATACAAAGCACGAGCGTTAACGAACGTTACACTCGTGGATTGTTCTGCAAGAGAAATAGATGGACGGACGGACGGACAGACAGAYGGACAGACAGACAGACAGACAGACGAATGGATGGATGGATGGATGGATGAATGCATGGACAGACAAACAGCAAGACGAACGACCACGAAAGGAAATGCCCTTTAAATAAACCATTCCGATTTAATCGTTCAGTTTAATCCTTTCATTTGTCACTAATATCTATATATATAGATATAGATATAAATAATAAATCAACGAAATGATAAAATAAGATTTAGGGGTTAAAATGAAGAATGAAAAAGTATAAAAGGGGAAGTAGAGAGAGTGTTATATTGGTCATTAAGAGGAAAATTACAATATTATGATTGGAATAACAGGGTAAAGTTATTCCGTTGTTTTCCCCCTTTTTCAAGAGGAGAACAAAAAATATAAATTATTCTGTCTCGAGACATTTTCTCGCTTCTTCTTTATTTCCCCCTTTTCTCTCTCTCTCTCTCTCTCTTTTTCTCTCTCTCTCAACGTTGATCGTTATTGAAATTTTTGGAATGTCTTTCATATTTTTTTCCACCCTCTAACACCCCCACCACTCGAGACACGCTTCACTGCGTGGGCGGATCGATCTCTCCCGCAACGGAGAGCCATTTTCTCGCGCGCGCACAAACAGACACATACACGCACACACGCATATACGCACACGCACGAACTCACACGTATACAAAGTTTTCCTCATAATGAGATTTTTCCACGGAACGAAGAGGGATTACTATACCACAACCGAGATATTCCTACTTTTGCTTTTATTTTTATTTTTATTTTCTTTACTTTACTTTACTTTACTTTTTTTTACTTTCGTATTCTTTTACTTCTGTCACTTGACAAATCTTTCTTTAAACTGAACAACACATAGTTGTAGACGAAGAACGACAACGACAACTACGACTACGACTATGTATTCACGTAAATCAAACCTGTCGCACGCACGATGCAGGTGCATACGATACGTTTGTTTCCCCTCTCTTTCCCCTCCCTAACAAATTTTTTTCCAACCGTTCTACCCTGATCCTTTTTTTGTCGTAGGTTGATTGTGAAAGCTCGTCGATATTTCGACAACTTTTAAATTAACTGTTGTAAAAAAAAAAAGATATATATATGTATGTATATATGCATACGTAGAAAAAAGTTTTATTTTTTGTAAAAAAAAAAAAAAACATATAAATCTTAAAATCATTTGTAGTAGTAATTTTTTTTTTTTGTTACGATTTTACCTCGTCAAGCTTCGTTTATTTTCTCTTTTGGATTGAAAAAGAAAAAATAACTAGCAAAAAAAAAAAAAGAAAAAGAATTGAACTGTTACGATATTCACTCAACAAATGTCGTATATGGCAAACGTTTACGCACATCATTGGACCGAATTACGAAGGTTGCACCATCACCACACTCTCGTACAATTCTCGTTACTACGTAGAAAACTGAATAACCTCGTGGACTCGTATCGTCTATCCCAGGTTTGTATAACGCGGGTACGAGTTGTTGGCTCACCGACGATTTTACGACTACGGCTGGATGGGTTTGAGAGAAAGACAGGGAAAATACAGGGGAAAATACAGGGAAATACAAAAATGGGGTGAACGTTGTTAACACGAACCTTTGAAACAATGCGCGTCAAACCGAATTGAAATTATTTTTTCATTTGAATTTTTCGTTTTTATTTTTTATCATTTTTTTTTTACATTGAATTATTTTAAGACTATTATTATAATTAACGAATTAATTATAATTGTCAAATATTAATTACATTAGATTTACGGATTGTATCAATTTGACTCACATCAAATTTTGTTCCTACATATATTAGATATATTATATAATATAATTATAATTTCTTTTTTTCTTGTTGTTTATTTAGCTCCTGAATTTTTTACAATTTGTCCGTAGACATTTGGTAAATTTTATATATGTAAAAAAAGTTAACACGTTGACGGTATCTCTCCAATGAGATATGAGAACTTAAATATTATTATTTTTTTTAAATATGTTAATATAATACCCTAATAAAATATACGTAAAATTTTTGTTCTCCCCTTCTTTATTAAACCCATATTTTTTTGTTAAAACAACATTTGTAATTTTTTAGAAAACTAGTGAACGAAACATCCGTAAATCAAGTGTTAATAAATATAAGGATAGTTCAACGTATATTTGATTTTGGTTGTTATTGTTATTATAAAACACACCGTATTCGCGAGAGTGAAGTCGATTTAGTTGATTTAGTCGATGGGGGCACGTGTGTACGAGCTCGTTTGAAAACTTTATAAATCTCCCTGCAACGAAGTTGACGCAAATAAACGTCGCGTCAGTGCACATCCGACGTGACGGTCGGCCGGCAACTTTGAAACGCGACTCCCAGATGTTTTAAAGGAACGCGACGAACTCTAACTTTCTAACGAAGTCGTAAATCCAATGCTTAGAAAGCATCCCTTTCCTTTTACCCTTTTTTTTTGTATTTTTTATTTTCTCAGAATGGAAGTATACAATTCTGAAAATGTTTACTGATAGTTTTGTTTCATTTAGTTAGTTTAGTGCTAGTAAGGAAATAATAAGTGTAATATATTACCGTTGAAATAATATTAATGAATCCTTTATACAAAATTTGTCTCTATTATATCGTATTTCATATTCCTTTTTCACATGATTATCGTCGTCCTTGCTATTTATCTCAGATTTCATCGTAAAAACGTAACGAGCTAGGAAGCTTTTTTATTTGATTTTGCGGTAAAATGAAACAGGTTCTCTTCTGTATCCGTGCACATGTCATATATGTATACTTCTCTCTGTGAAAAGAAAAATAATCGAGATAACGTAGAAAGAGTAATATACTAAACGAGCGTATTAACGTTACGTTTATCAGCAAACGAAAAAACCTTTTTAATATGATATCACATAATGTACTTTTATAATAATAATATTATGTTAATATAATATATCGTGGAAATATATTAAACGAATTTTATCTTATATTTGTCATACAGAGTGATTTAAAAAATTTAGATGACTTTTGTATTCGTCAGGTAGTAGAGACGTTCTTTCAACATAAGTTTTGCGATTTAATTAAACTGTCTTCTTCTCTTTCGGTCTCTCATCACACACACACGAGGATAGCGTCGAAAAATCGATGAGTCGCGGTTCATGATTCCGCTCGACTACCTAGGAGAAGTAATTCCAGGGAAACGAGCTCTCACAGTCGGTTTGTTCGTGCGGAAAGCTGCGAGAAAGGCAGGAATACCTGGAAAGAGTGGAAAGGTGGAATTGAAAGTTTCCGAAGGGTTTAGATATTCGTACGGGGTGGGAGTGATGTGCTGCTTTAGGCGGGAACCTAGTAGAAAATTCGTGATTTCGATGCCGAATAACGGGAGACTACTACTACTAGTCCTCTCAAAACTTATTCGATCAGGACAATCGAATTAGTTTGCTATCAAACAAAGTAAAACGTTCTACTTTTGGAAAATAACCTTTTCCAAATTCGTAGAATTGCTTCAAAAGGAATATCTAAGTGGATGTAAGAGATTCTCTCAACGGTGTATAATATCTGTCTTTGAAAAAAAAAAAAAAGAAGAAAAAAAAGGAATAGTCTCTTATATTTGCATGATACCAACTTTGCAATTTGCGAAAGGCAAATGTGTGTTTAACGAGAGAAATTTCAATGCTTCGTGTGTGTGTCGATACGACCGAGGTATTCGAGGTTCGTTCTCGGATCGAACTCGTCCTAAAAACGGAATTGCAGGATTCCAACTAGAGTTTCTACGTTTCTACATTCGAATTGGTGTCTCTCATCTCTTCTCTGTGTTTTGGGACACCAGAATCCGTTGTAGCTCGGTGTCGAACAGAATGTTCGTTCGTACGAGATAAACCGACGTGTGTTCTATATCCTTTCAAATTGTTTCTAAAAAACTTTTCAAACAAATCTCTCTTTCTCTCTCCCTCTTACGTTTGAAAGTACTACTAATCTATTATATTATTTGTTTTTTTTTTTTTCAATCGAGATATCGAGATACAAAATGCATTATATATTTTTATTTGAATATTTCATATTCATCATTAATGCAATACGATTCTCTTTTATTGACATTGCAAATGGCTTTAGTTGAAAAGTTTATGAAGGATGGAATTGAGATATCAGAAGAATCGTTTCGACGAAGACTTGATAAACTACTACTACTATTACTACTACTACTACAACTGCAGTAGAAAGGTAGCATCGATATGAAAAATGCAAAGGAACGAGAATTTGCTAATATAAGATGCAAGCAGTGACGCGTGAGAGATCGGAAGAGGTAAAAGAGAAAAATAGGGGGAAGGGTGTAGGGGGATGGGGGGGTGGTAGAGCGGAAGGAGGATGGGGTTGGAAGAAAGAAAACTGACGAACAAGATGAGAGATGGGATAGTCCTCAACGAAGATATATAACGTTTATCGATAATATTTTTCTGTAATATTGAACAAAATCTTTTATCCGAGTAATATTTGACTCAGGGATCAAAACTTTTCTTTCTAGACGCGTTAATCCTTTCATCGAAAATGAATGAATGAAAAATTATGAAGGATCGATTTTATAATGTGTAGGTATTACAATATGCGCATCGTATTAATACGTTACGCATACAAATTATAACGAAAAATCGAATTTCAAATAGGACGATTAAGAATTTTGTTTTTTACCACACGTATTTCATATTTTACTTTTTTTTTTTATTCTTTTTTATTATCTCTCTTAAGAATCATTTTTGAAAATAATTCGAAACTCTCTCTCTCTATCTTTCTTTCTTTTATTTCTACGGTATTAGTTAGGAAAGTATGGTGTTCCGAGGGCGGACAAGAATTTAATTCGAATGGAGAGAAAGAGAGAGAGAGAGAGAGGAGAAAGACAGTAGGAAGGAACTTTGGAAACTTTTGCAGCTTTGCTTTCGGAAAACGAGAAAGAGGCGTTTCCAAGTTCTTGTCCGTTGACCTTCATGCTGCACAAAAATCATATTTCATTTCTAGCATAAAAAGACATATCGACCGACTTTCTCTCTATCTCTCGTGTCTATTTTATTTTTTCCTTCTCTCTAACGAACTCGGTCAAATTTGATTGTACAAAAGAAAAAAGAAAAAAGAAAAAGAATTGAAACTTACAAAGAAAATGAATTCAAATTCTATCTTTTATGTCCTATTTTTTTTTTCTTTTTTTTTTTTTCTGTAAATAAGGTACAAGTAAAAGTTTTATCTTCAATTAAAAGACCTCTAGATTCTTGTTTCTTAAGTTCTACTTGATTTTTTCTTTTCTAAAAGAGATACTAAAGAAAGAGAAGAAGGAGAGTTATCTTCTTATCGTTACACTCGGCCATGCTTTCTCGAAAAAGGAATCGAATGCGAGAGCGTCGATCTGGGCTTTAATTAAAACTCTTCAGAAAGCTGTGTGTACGTCTTGTCGCGTAAAAGAGTGAGAGAGAGAGAGAGAGAGAGAGAGAGAGAGAAAGAAAAAAGAAAAAGAAAGAAAAAAGGAGTGCTAGCTCCCCGTAAAAAGAACAGCAAAAAGGCTTTGTGAGAGAATCAGCTTCGCCTCGTTCGTTCTCGAGCCTTGGCTCTTTTGTCCGCTCGAATCCGACGAACGCGCGCTCGGAGGAATTTAGATTTAATTGACCCGCTCAACGATTAAACCACCCCTCTTTGCTCGATTCAACTCTTTGTAGAAAGAGAGAGAGAGAGAGAGAAAGAGTGAAAGGCAGCGGATGCACGTGGAAAGAAAGAAATAGCTAACCCGACGCCCCGACCGTGGCTAAAGCCGATTGGATTTTCTTTACCAAGATAAAGAAAGAAAGAAAAAAGAAATAATCAAAAGATAATCTTAATTATCGCTCGTAGAAAAGTATCGGTTCTCTTTCTCTCTCTCTCTCTATCTCTTTCTTGTGAATTTTTTTTCCCCCTAGGATAGAATACCAATTCTATCGAAATCAAACTTAATGCATTTTCCATTTTCTTTTTCTTTTTAGGTTCGCCTGGTAGTAACACGATACTCGGTCAGTATAATGACAAAGATATTAAAAATCTAGATAAAAAGAAGACATTTACAATCTCTTAAAAAAAAAGAAAAAGAGAGATCGGAGGGAGAAGAAAATAGAACAGCATCGTAAAAAGGAAGAAAAATTTGGTAAAAAATGAAGACGCGGGACACGCAAGTCTACCGAAGGAAGTGAGAGTCGTGTGGTGTGGGGGTGGTGGATCCAGGTGGTAGGTGGCAGGTGGTGGTAGGTGTATTTGCGGGAATCGGGCTAAAGTGCCCGATCAGTTGTGATGGTCTCAGGGTGGTGCCCGTGCGTGCCGTTAGGGCGCCGGGAATCACCGGCCCAACAACAACAACAACCTCCGCCATCATCATCTTCGTCGAGAGGATTCACCAACGACGGTGCACCCTTCACCGTCAGCGCCGCGACGGACCGTGCAGAAATGGTCCAAATGTTCTATTACGAGAATCGCGGCAAGTGTTGTAAGAAACTACTCAGATACAACGGCTATCCAAATAAGGTTAGAATTTTTCAATTTTACTCTTTTAATTTACGATTCATTTATTTTTATCAAAAAAAAAAAAAAAATAAAAAAAATATTTATCGGCAACTTTAATTAATTGCTATTAATTTTATAACTTAATTACTTAACTTTACTTTTTTTTTTTTTTAAATTACATTTAATAGAACACAACGAATCCTTTATTCGTGATTTGTTTATTAAGAAAATTTATTATTATTTTATATTCTACTACCGTAGAATATGGAAAAATATTTAATTGTTAAATATTTCTTCAAGAAAATTTCAGACGAGTTTAAAGCCGCGTTAACACTCCGAGAATGAAATTAATTATTTGATGAGCTCCTCCTCCTTGACGAGTTTCGCTTGGGAAAGCACTTAAACTATATTCCCTCTCTCTCTCTCTCTCTCCCTCTTTCCGAGTAACTTTTCTCGCTGGACCTAATACGATTCCCGCGTGTATCTACATAAATACATATTATACAAAAGTTTATATAATAATAATAATACAATAATAATACAATAATAATACAATAATAATGTATTATTATCCTTAACAATAGATTTACGGATGGTTTGTACATTAATTTTTAAAAGCTTAAAAACATTGTTTGTATGAAGAAATAGATAGAGGGGAGGAATAAATATTTACGTATATTTTATTGAGTTTATTAAAAATTAACATTTATTTAAAAAAAATAATATTTAAGTTTTATATATACTATGTAGCTAAATAGTTTGAAATGAATCAAATAGACTCAGTTCGTAAATCTATTTAGTATTAATTTTATCCGAAACGTTTCGTTTATATTTATTAGATTATTATTATTGATTTATCCTTTGGAAAATCTCGGAAAATCTAATTCATACAATTTCTATATAAGTTCTAACATCTGACGATACTTGAACCTAAATTCGGTAATAGAAGATATCAAAGTGGAACGAATGCGAGTAAGGATCCATGAAGGAACACGCGCGTTACGTTTTCCTTCTCGGTAAGAAGGAGCTATCAATGAAAGATGACCCAACTGAGATAACGTTCCATAGGAGTTTCCTAAAAGAGAGAGAGAGAGAGAGAGAGCAAAGAGCAAGAGAGCAATTCCAAGTTCACCGCGAAGAAGGTAGCAAGTTTCCGAAGGCCCCAAGGGAAATAAATCGATTCGATATCTGAATAGCCATTATGCGGACGTGGCTTCCAGGTGAGGTAGGGTTGACTGGGTGAGGGGTGTTGGGGTGAACAGGGAAGGTTGATAGAAGAAAAGAGAGAGAGAGAGAGAGAGAGAGAGAGAAGGAGAGTATTTGATATCTCGAAAAGAAGAAGGAAAGTGTGGAAGAAAAAGGGCTCAACCTTATCCGTGATACTCGTGAAACTGGGCTAATGCTTTTGAGTTTCAAAACTCTTTCATATCATACGAAATTTTCTTTCAATAACCGAGTTATTATTCATCGTGGCCATTTATTACCAAACTCGGATCATTCCTTTTGTTCTTTCTCAAAAATGGTCGCCCTAAAACGTGCTACCAAAGAGGGAACCGTACTCTACCGTTGCAAAGCTTTGCGACGTAGCTTTTCATTTGCAAGAAAAGAGAAAGAATATCCGGGACGAATTTTTATGAGAGCGTTAGAGAGAGAGAGAGAGAGAGAGAGAGCGTTAGAGAGAGAGAGAGAGGGATGGTAATCCTCGATCGCCGATCGCCCGTAAAATATTGCTATGATCCTCGTAAAAATGCGCTTACGTTGTCGAGAAAAAGCTTGCAAGCTCGTTCCGTTTCTTTTTTTTCTTTTCTTTTTTTTTTTTTCGTTCTTCTTTTTATCATCATTTCAAATTTGAATATAGAAATGTAGATTTTTCTATTACTTTTTTCTTATTCTTTGACTTATTTCTATCTCTTTCCTAAATATTTATCGGCAAGAATTACTTGTGAAAGTTTTCCTTTCGACGTGAAAGAAACATCGTGTAATATAGTTTTCAAGATGGCAAAAGGGAGAGAGAAAGAGAGAAAAGTGTATTTTTCAGTTTGCGAAAGTATATCTCTGGAAATATAAATCTTCTGTGAAAGTAACGTAAAAGAATTTTCTTTTCTTACAAGTGAAATACGAAATAGTGTATACTGTGAAGACATTTTCTTCCTCGTTTGTGATATAGGAAGATCAAGAAAGAGAAAGAGAGAGAAAGAGAGAGAGAGAGAGAATGAGAGAGTGTATATTTGCTTATAAGTTAATCTTATCGTTAAGCAGTCAGTGTTAAGGTGCTTTCCAACCTTGAAGTACCCCCAATCTATCTCGAAAGTCTAAAGTTATCGTTGCTGTTATACGAAACGAAACGAATAGAACGAGTAGAATTAATGCTCTGGAATAAGAGAGCTATTTCGAACAATCTAGTAAAATACTATGCGAAAAGGAAAAGCAGATTTCACGATTCCATCTTCGAAATAACCAGTCTCTGATTCTGATTGCGTATTACGACTGTGTCTGTTTTATCAAGATTATTATATTCCAAGAGTCTGTCATATAGACGTAGAAAAGCTAAAGCTTAGGCTTACTTATCCATCTATCTTATCTCATCATTTTATCCCTCATTTTCCGTAATATCATGATTTATCTTTTGTAAATGACTAACCCCCTTTTTAAATGATCATTTTAAAAAACATAATAGAGTATTTGAAACAACGAAATACTTTAATTCATTTTTTTTTTTTTTTATTAAGAAGCAAATTTAAATAATATTTTTCAACATTTTTTGAAAAATTTCTTATACAATTTTCATTAATACTAATGCATAGAGATATATACTACTTTTTGGAACGAGTACAGGTAGCTTTTTTACAACACGGCATCCAATAACACGATTTCGTTTTAAACACCATAAGAAAATTGCGACAAATCTTTGTAAAACACTTTTACTTTTACAAATTTTAATAATATTTTACATTTTGTAATATTTTTCAGCATTTTCTTAAAAAATTTCTTATACAATTTTCATTAATACTAATGCATAGAGCAAATGATATTTTTTTGTATGTAGTACAGGTAGCTCTTTTACAAGACGGCATCCAATAATACGATTTCATTCTAACACGATAAGAAAATTGCGACAAACTTGTACTGAATAACATAACTTTTGCTTAATATTTTTATTAAATTAAATTATCTTAAAATAATAACGTACTCTTGATTTCATATAATACGGTTTCACACAACACGGCATTTTCTAAGAAACCTATCTATCGTATTACAAGAGTGTTACCTGTACTGTAATCCGTGCAATACCACAAAAAGGACATTACAAATATTCGATTGAAAAAGCTTAAATTTCGAAATAGTATTATCGTATCGAAAGCCCGTTTATTTTTCGTAGCTTTGACGCGAGGGAAAAAAGGTCCGCTTTATGGGGTGTTAGTTGATCGAAAGAAGGGGAGCAGAAGGAGAGGAAAGGTTTGTAGATCTCTAAGGGCGATTGATAATCCACGCAGAGACAGGGAAGCGTGGAAAGGACGAAGGAGAACCATGTCCGTAACCTGTAATCCAGGGTGTTGGAGGGGAAAAGGAAAGGGGGTTAGGGGAGAGGGGGGGAGGGGTACTTCTTGCAGGAGAAAATCCTTTGAATATGTATGAGTACGATTTCCCAAGCTGATTCGCAGTATCCGCAGTGAGTTTTGAAAGCTCTTGAGTTTGCGCGATGCCGAACCCCTTTCCCTCTCCTACCATCATCCCCCTCCCCCCTCCCATAGCGCCAGTGGCTTCTCTTTTACCTCGACTTCGCAACCAAAAGGGAGAGTGGAGTGGAGACTATCCCTTGTGGCCGATCGTCCTGCGGTTTCTATGCCCACTACGGTTATTTGTATTCCTAGCCATTTATCGTTATTAGTATATACTACGTATTGGATTTTTCTTTGAATAAAACATAACTCAAAAAGTGTTTTTCGTCGAATATACAAAAAAAATATTAACCCTTTTGCACACCGAATGATAATATTTCAATTTTATTACCAGATCAATTTGCAATGCTATTAAATATTTTATTTGACATTTATTTTCAATTTAAATCTTTCTATAGAAAAATTTAGTGTCACATTGCTAGTTTCCAAATGAAGTTCGAAACTACTGAATTGAATTTTAACTTAATGAATTGTTTTTTTTTATTATGTGTGACTTTTTTTCAATTTAGTATGTACTAAGTTCCTATATATATAACTTTGTAGGATGTCATAAGAATGCAAAAGGGTTAATTAGTTGAGATGCGATAAAAAATGAAGAAGAAGAAGAATAATAAAAAATAAAAAAGAAACGATTAATAAAAATAACTGGGAAGTACTTAAAAGTTAAATTTGGTTGATCTTCGTGAAATGAATACATTGTAGGCATTTGGTAAACCGTCGACTAACGGAAACGGAAACGGAAGCGTCTTCTTCTCGTTATACTTTGATACTTTTTGTTGTTGTTGTTGAAGTAAAAGTAAAAGTAAAAAAAAAAAAATAAAAATAAAAAGGAAGGTCGTATTGTCTCTTCTTTCATTGAATGCTTCAAGCGGTACTTTCGTCTTTCTGACTTACTCTAAGAAGACGATGAGAAAGAAGAAGAAGAAGAAGAAAAAGAAGACTTGCCAGCCAGCCAACCAACCAACCAACCAGCCAGGCAAGGCAAGCCAGCCAGCCAGCCAGCCAGGGCTTTCGAAATAAGAAGGGGAAAAAGAGAAAGAGCCTCTTTTTACGTCGCCGCGATTACAGATATCCGACTGAAAAGATTTTGCGACCCTCTCATAGTAGTTCTTCGCAAAGTCAGATGGTATCTTCTCTATATCTCTCACCCGGAAAAGAAGAAGAAGAAAAATAAGAATAAGAATAAAAATAAGAAGAAGAAGAAAAAAATGAAGAAGAAGAAGAAGAGAAAAAGTGCCTTGAGGCTTGGAGAAAGAAGTCAGAGAAAGAAAATATCCATCCTTTTTCTTTTACCCTTTCCTCTCATAGCTTTACGATCTTACTTTCTTTTATTTTATTTTA